AAGACATTATGTTTCCGTCTTCTTTGCATTGCAGAGGCCCGGTCTATTCAGTCGGAAGAATCGGAACTATGCACACAAAAGAGAAATTATCTAGCCACTTCTACTATCATGGTAACAACTCTGTTGACCAGACTTAACTTCAGCTTGTTTGCTTGTTTTTTTAACTACTTAATACTCTTGTATTCTCTTAAAACTTACGTAATTCCGTATTTTATTTTGTTTCTATGTTCGTCCTGAGCACAACTCTTTCATCAAACTATTCATGCTTTTACGTAACTCTTCCTTAACAATCATTTGTGACAACTCACCACCTTTGTTACTAACCTCTTAAATCAACATCCAATTTCTTTGAACACCTTTTGTATTATGTAACTCCACCCAAAACTTACTAATTCTCACCTGTTAAGTTAAAATAACAATAACCAACTGTATTTGTCTGACAAACGTAATGTACACATACATATAAAATGACTCGTATATATTTGCGATTGTAAAGCTAAGAAAGTTAATCCGCCGAAAAGAGGTTCTTCGCTGAATTACTGGCCTTCTCTCAATTAAATCCAACCAAATTTCTGGCAGTAATCATTTTATCAAAAGAACCATAGGATAATAACCTCGTTTCAGAGTCATCTACACATTCGAAAATACCTATTGAAGTCCATGCATTTGGAATTAATATATGTAAAGTAAATATTATGACACTTAAGACTTAGCGAAAATGTTTATTGCCAAGTAGGAAAAGAAACTGATCTAGAAAGTTTGTGGCAAAAAGGTAGAGAAAAGCTCAGTTAGCTAACACAGAATAAGAGAAAGTTTTGTGAAATCTTCGTTTCATATAGGGTTTTAATTTCTACTACTGAAGAGTTTATGAAGGTAATGTCTCATGCTTTGGAGATCCCTAAAAGATATATTGCTAAACTTCACAGCAGTGCTATAAACCATTAGATCTTCATAAGGAATTTCGAAAAGGGGATCAATAATGGGGTAACTGATCAACAATTTAACCGGATTATTTATCAAAAAATTAAAGTATAGACAATATATTTATTATCATTATTGGCAAAAATAAGGAGTGAATGCAGGCGTAAATCTATATATCATAGAACCTAGTAGAGATTCGGATTAATTTCACTGTAGATCCTGTCGCAGATCGACGTTTCTGCTGAGATCATTGAAATCAGAGGGCACTGGACAGCTGCTTCGTCCCAGATTGGGGGTCTTCAGCAGCACACACGATCCTTCCCTGTATCAAACCCAGGACCTTCAAGTTACGAAATTAAGATTGTTGGCCACTTAGCTATTTGGGCTGGATTTCGATAGCTCGTGAACTCTAACATCGTGAAACACACATTGAAATGAATAGAAAAATCCCTGAAAAATCCTATAGTCCAAGTGTCAGTCTTCAGTTCACTGATGGCTACTGGAAGATTTCCTGAAACTGGGCTAAGAAGCCGTGCCCAATGTTAGCCACCATGTAAAGGGGAAGTGGATGCTCGCAGAAAGTTATGGTTAAGGGTAGCAATAAATCACAAGTTGATAAGTTAGAATTCATGGATCTGTAGGGCACCAAAGAAGTTCGTCAACTCAACTAAACCTCAGCAGTATCAATATTAACGATCAATTTGTTTATTCGTGAGGATTGAAGTACATGATGTGAAGATAATTCTCAAGAGACAGGATCTTGGCGGCTTCGTTGCTGTGTGATTATCTGCACGGACACTCTGCTGAAATCCTCGCTGACAAATACACCCGTCAGCCTCCATAAGTGGCATACTCTCCCCTCGCCAATCGGGGTGGTGCTAAGAGCAGCCTGGCCACCAGGTTAGGTGGGCTGGGCTAAACCATCGGCAGGCAGTTTGACCAGCGCTTAGGTCGAGCGGAACTGATGGTAACACATTGATTTTAGGCGCTGGATCCAGTCAGCACCAACTTAATTGAGTTCAAAAATCATTCAATCAACCTAACTGACTGGTTTCCCAGAAGTCATTATATTCCCGCTCAAGTGACTGAGTGGGCAGTGAGCTTAGTCTTGTAACTTGAAGTTTCTAAGTGTGACTACTGGTAGGGTAGTGGGTGTGCACTGCAGAAGAGTCCCGAACTTGGATGAAACAGCAGTCCAGTGCTTTCTGTTTTCAGTGACCCCCACTAACTAATAGTGTTTCTACGTTGAAACTCAAACCTGTATTTGGATTTCCTATGTGATCATCCTAGAGACGGCGTCGCCATAGCTGTAAGTTCGTTAAGTGGAGCCAGAAGCAAGGTAGACGGTGAGATCTTCGACATAAAAGACTTTTAAATCAGTGTTTATCTTGAAAGTCTTGGACAAGCATTTCAATAAAAATTGCGGGTGGCAAAACAGAAGATTCTAAAATCTCAGGGTTCATAAGCAGATATTCCGTATTAAAATGACGTTGCAGAACAAAATCAAAGAGTACCTGCCGAATTAAATCCCATTCGGCGCTGTAAGATTCTTTGGAGAGTTCATGAATGAATGGAAACAATATGTCTTATATACGTATGTGGGACGAAATGTTAGGAATGTAACGATTACTGTGTAGCAGAACGCAGCAGATACATGAAAGCGGGAGCGAATGGACGCACATTATGCACAGGACACTCGCCTGAAGGTGAAATATAATTAATGACTTTAAATTCATGCATATCTTGGCTGTAGATTCCGTCAACAGGAGAGTTGCATTAGACTTATCACCTATCTAGGAGCCTCTAAAAACTGACAAATGCTATTAGTCATCATATTCTCCCACCCCTGAATATTTATGATTATTATTGTTCCCTTGGCTTCCTAGTGCGACATAGGGCTTCAACAACACGTCTCCACTTGCTTCTGTCTTCTGCTGTACTTTTCACCTGCATCCATGTTAGTCCATACTGTTTCAACTCCTCTTCACACGATCTCCTCCATGTCACCCTTGCACCGACGAACCACTCGCCGCTTCCCTTTCGGGTTCCACTCGAGCGATGGCCTGACACGCGATGTCACCCAGCGGCCTCCTCAGCTCAGCGAGTGTCCAATCCATCTCCACTTTCTCCTGCATATTTGTTTGGCAATTGGTTCTTGTTTTGTATGTTCCCATAGTTTCTTGTTGGTGATTCTTTCCGGCCATCTGATCTTGAGTATAGAGCGAAGACAGCTGTTGATTAAGGTCTGCAACCTGTTGGAAATATTGTTTGTGACCCACCGCGAAGTTTCTGATCCGTATAGAAGAACTGACTTGACTGACGTTTGTATTGAAAATCCGAATTTTGTTGTTGATGCAGGCTGAGTGACGAAGATTTCCAGATTGGTTTCAGGTTGATGAATGTGTTTCTCGCCTTCCCGATTCTCGCTCGATTTGACATCCTCGTCGGTTCCTCCTGTAGTTGAGACAATGCTCCCTAGATAAGTGAATGAAGTAACCTTCTTTCAGAAATGACTCCCCACAGATAGTTTACTGATCAGTCTACGAAGACAAACAGGTAGGTAGCCAAGACAGCGAAGAAAGGACTTCAAGTGAAATGAGACAAGACAGACGTAGTATAGACACTGCCATCAATGGAAGGAATCTAAATGAAGTCGTTCCTTACACTTAACTAATTTGTGTAATATCGCTTCAACTACCCGTAGCACTGATGATGTCAGAGCCAGAAATGTCGGGAGATTTGAGACCGGCACACATTACGCTGAAATTGGCGTGAAGATATGCATCACTTATCGCGTACCACCAATAAGATCTGAGTTCTCAACTTGAACGTCAATAAAGTGTTTCTATATGGTTGAGAAAGTTGATCAACCACAAATTTTCACGAATACCTGCACTTTCTCCATGCTACAGAACAGATGACTGGAAATGACAGGCCATAATGAATTCCGGCAGCGAGGGAACCAGTTAAGAACCTAATGACTAAAAGTCTACAAGAGGAAGTTGAGATGAATCGGAAATGTGTTGAAGAGAACATCAGTTGACAACGCTGAAGATAGGCTCTTGAGTGGGACCAAAATGTGAAGTGGCGAGTTGGACGCCGGTTCTTCGGAATCTCGTATTAAATACCTGTAAAATCTGAAGGAAATTTGAAGATTTAATATCAATTTCGTTTCCAAATGCATAACTGGAAGATCTTTCCATGCTTTATCACTGCTACTCAGTCAGGAAACTACATGTCTTGAAGGCCAGCAGTGTAAGAGGCTAGATCTAAGTTGGTGATGATTACTATCATAAAACTGCTGACTGAATTGATAGCTGATTTGTTATGAGGCTGTATTCTTGGTTTTCCTTCGGTGGTAAATTCTGAGTCTGATCAAAGTATTCCAAAAGGATTGGAAAAAATTGGAAAAATCGTCTTGCGAAGCCAGTAAAAAAATCACTATGAATTTGAGCGAACCAGGGAAAAATCCTTTCAGAATGCTTTCCCCCAGTTTTACTCTGTACGTTATGGAAGAGTACGATAAAGACGTATAACACTGCCAATGACACATGACCAAATAAAGTGGGTTTTGAAGAACACCTAAAATATTGCCAACCAAAACTAAAGGGTTAACAAACACGAACCAATATTTTCTGCAATTTTTTTGAAGGTTAGGTGTCACAAATTATGAAATTATTTCCGCCGGAATTTATTTATGGTCTTAAGATTTGAACATCAAGCTGAAAAATTCATCTGAGTTATCACAATCAATGAAATATCTCTGCATAAGAATGCCTGTTTAATGGTCTTCTCACTAACTCAAATCAGCTTTATAAACTTTGACGCTATCCTTTTTAAATTCTTTCCACTGCTACAGGCGTAAATTCTAAGAAACTTTTGATTCATTATATTTGTTGTGAAAAGTTTGAACCTTTAATTTAGTTAATTGTCAAGGCGTGAGTTCTCGAATCTGAATTTATGACTGACGCGCGGTAATAGAAAATTTATCCAGTGTTCGCTTATAGATGCTGACATTAGCATAGTTTGAGTTGTGATACAATATGGTTGCAGCAGTCTCCCGAAACGTCATGATTAAAATGGAAGATAAAATTAGAAACCATTCTTCTGTTGATCAAAAGTTTCTCGAACCCCAAAAGCTCAACCATATAACTGTTGAGCCTTTCGGAGATATTACAAAAGCAACGAGAGAAAATAATCCAGATAACAGTTCATTGGATCCAGTATTGAAACCTGAAGTTTGTGGCAGAGTGGTCACAAAGGTTGGTTTTGTAAACCTACCAAATCAGATCCACCGGAAAGCTGTTCGACGTGGTTTCGTGTTTAATCTGATGATCACAGGATATTCAGGACTGGGAAAATCGACGTTTATCAACGCTCTATTTTGTACAGATTTGTACAATGCAGATTATCCTGTGAGTTTATATTTGACACAAATGAATATTTTACCTTTGGTTACTGGGGGCATTGACGTAATTACACCATTTAACTCTAAAAGAAGCCATATTCTTGCTAGTACTTGTTGATATCTCAGGGGTGTAATCGGCCCGTAGAATAAGTGAGCAGGTTTTGAAACCTTAGTTTTTGTTATCTAAGTGTTATTAGGTTGATTAATCAGTCTGTTACAATTGTAACAGTAGATTTCAATATATTAATCAGAATTCGGGATATAGTGAAAGTAACACATAAACTTATTTCTAAATTTTTTATCACTTGATTTGGTGACGTTTATATTATGTATCCATACATATGTATATATCCCACTTGAATGAGTTATTAGAGGTGTAGGTGCCAATTCTGAGAGTTTAGGCTAATGATTAATAGTTCTTCAATGGAAACACTACTCACAGGGATACAGTTACATTCTTTGATTGATGGGTAGTCTGAAGAATGAAGTCAGTGGACCGCCTTTTTGTATTGCACGTTTTTTGAAAAGCCTCGGATAAAGTCCATTAGAACCTGTCGATTTCCATTTATCTAGTGTGCCAAATTACCTAAAACCAAAATATGTGGCTTTCTAGTGACATGACTAGACCCAGTGTAACATGATAGGATTATTCCAATACGGTTATACTAGCTAATGTTTTCTAGTGGATTGCTGTGTATTCTACCAATTCATTTGCTTACACTAACTACGGTAGACTCCGGTGTTAGTGGGTGGTTGGTTGACATTCAATATATCCAATGTCGTTTTCACGAGCTAGTGTAGAATAAAGTAATTTCTCTCTACGCGCTTTTTGGTTGTAAGGTTCCTGATTTTCTGCATAGTACGTCCTTCCAATCGACTGTTGTAGTTTTGGTTAACTTCAAGGGAAGTGGTGCTAGGGTTGGCTATATTTACTTTGTATTATGCGGTGTGCTAAGGCTGTATTACTTCTGTGAATGGAGGTGATCCTTTCACCCTTTAGCGGTCCGGTGCGGTCGAGAAGTGAGATAACAGTAAGCAATAATATAAAAATATATATTCAAGTATTGGTTTTGTAGGGATTTTTGTTTCATTGCATGGAGGATTTCATCATGAGCTGACATCAGTTAGAGAACCACTGGAAAACCTGGGAGTACTGGACAGCTGTTTCGTCCTAGTTTGGGACTCTTCATCAGTACGCATCCACCGGGATTCAAACAGGTGTGTACTGATGAAGAGTCCCAAACTAGGACGAAACAGCTGTCCAGTACTCCCAGGTTTTCCAGTGGTTCTCTAACTGATGTCAGCTCATGATGAAATCCTCCATATATATATATATATATATATATATATATAATAAACTAGTTAAGTGAATAGATAGAGTAATCATACGAGTAAGACAAGAGAAAATGCGCAGTAGTAAAGGCGAAGTTTAGATTTATGCCTACTACTGCTGCGTGATTGTCAAGGGGATAGGTCATTTGGATACGGTTCGTGTGTTTCTGCATGATTACTCAGCCTCCGCCTAAAGCTTTTCAAGGACGGTGCAGTAGCCATATCTGCTTGCGAAACGGTCCGGGGGCGACAAATTCCGTTAAACCCAAGTCACCCTCTGGCATTACACGTGACAAGTTATCGTTATGCAGGGAGTAACTTACACCCTGCGACCTGTACACACATAGGTACACAGCTGCATTGCCTTGCATTTTCAGATTGGAAGTCATACCACTGACTAGTGCGTAGTCTTCCAGAATTATTAGCTTTGTCTTCAACCAGTTTGAGTCTTTTGAACACTTTTTCGCTCTCCGGGAAATCTAGACGGCCTGGCAGATCAATGATAAAAGTCAAAACACATGAACTGCCCTCGGATAGAATCCTGTGAAATTCACGATGCCGAAGTACGCTAGGATAATCGGACACGATTGACTTTGGTGGATGATTTCCTTTTGTCTACGTAGTTCTCCAACCATGAGGGGAGCGGGGTACTAATACTCACATGTTTCGTGAAGGAGGTCATTCCGAGCTCTGTCAAATGCCTTCTTGAAGTCGATGAAAATCACATGAACTTGAACATTCATATTGCAGCATGATTTCCAACCATTCTATTCTGATAATAGATTTGTCACACAGGGTCTACCTCTCTTGAAACCATGTTGCGCTTCATGGAGTGTGTTAGTCCTGTCTAAATGTCACCTGATATGATCAGCAATCAGATTTTCCAGTACATTCGATACCAGTTGGAGTAGCGCAACTGACCTGCAACTCATGGCGCTTTACTGATCCTCATCCTTCAAGATATAAGAAAAGATAGCTGTCTTCCACTCCTTTGGAAGTTTCCCTGAATTCATAGTGTTCGAACAGGTAACATAGTGGCTTGGAGAGAGCTTCTGCACACTGTTTCAGATTGGGTGGCTCTTGAATGATGATCAGAGCAAAGCAATCTGCTCTTCATTTTTCTTTAAATTGTTTATCGTTGATCATTTGCGATGATTATTTGTCAATAATTAAGCTAAGAATCGCATGATATCCATAACCTTCATGTACAAGAACAGTTTCATAGGATATGGGATATGCTAATGACAAGAATTTGTAATTAGTTTATTGTGGGACATCTTTTAAAAGAAGCCTGAATAGAAGATGGAAAGATAGGCTAAGTTGTAAATAAGTGAAAGGAAAAGAAACTGTGAATAAATACATAAAACATTAAATGAAAACACAGGAAGCAGAACACGAATACCTTGTGTAGACTGTAGTTTCGATGTTTGATTATATTTTACTATTTCTGTAAACACTGCTGCCACCAGATACCGCCGTGTTCTCTGTAAACATTGGTGTCACTGATAGAATAAACACGTTCTTGCCCCCAGGTATACTAAAGTATTGCTGCATCAAAGTGACAAACGCTGCTGCTTTCAAATATGACATTGAAATCTCTACTGTAAGTCTCAGTCGGACTGATCCCATGTTCATCCGATGTTGTCTCTCATAGTTTAGAATCTATTTGAAATCCACATTTTCCAGTCTGGATGAGTGTTATTTCACGTATCACGATATGGTACTGAAGTGAAGCAAAACATATTGTATTAGCAAGAAAACACAATGACATATGCTTCCGTAAATTAAAACGTACAACTCCTACTTGTGATAAACTGACTAAATGATTCAGTTCATTTTCATACTGCAATATGTGGTTAACTGTACTTACTAGGTGCCGGTAGTTTAAGTTACATTAAATTTACACACCATTGTCGAATAACATAAACAGAGTTGAAGAAATCTGTAGCATCCAGTTAATTTTCAAACTGCATGACATATGTTTTATGAGGGAGATACAGTTGGTGTCAAATTTAACAGGTATTGTGTATTCACTACGATTACTTTGAAACCTGTGTAGGCATCTACACTACTTAGCATGAATAACAACGCTAATGTCAAGTCAGTGCCTTTATATGGTTTATATACTTGCTGCAGCACTAGAAGCATTTCCAACTGGTCCAAAACTTTCATCAGCAGAACGTACCTGCTGATACTGAAAATAAGCTGGACAGCCAGGAAGGATAATCAACAAGGAACTCTGGCAGAGAGTCAACCAAGAACGTTTGCCTAAAAAAATGCAGAAGGAAATAGTGGTGTATTGAATACACACTGAGGAGACTGTTGAGTGAAGTCACACTCAAGGCATTGGAACCCTGGTGGGAAGCGACGAGTTGGATGTCCTAAAGTGATTTGGAGAAGATCGTTCGAGGAGGGAGTGAAAGGTTGCGGAAAGTTGTGAGGTCAGCTTACATTAATAGCGGGGAATCAAGATATACTGTTGAGGCTTATATGTTCTACTCAGAATGCACCGAGTAAATGATAACAGTAATAGTAGATCACTAGAAACTGAATTCCCTTTGATCTACTGTAATAAATTTTCCTCAGTGCTATATAACGTCTTAAAGCTTTTGTGTCCTTTAATTTCTTTATTTACATGTCTTTTTATTATCCACTGTAAAATATATAAATATTCTGTTTAAGGGCCCTTCAAAGCGTTCACCGTCTTCTGGTACTCGTGTGGATGCGAAGACTTTCGTACTGAATGAAGCCAAAGTTTCCTTATTACTGACTCTTATTGATACTCCAGGATTCGGAAATGACTTAGACAATACTACAAGCTGGAAACCACTCGTAAAACATATTGAATCTCGTTTTGAATCTTATCTTCGATCTGAATTGAATGTTTCTCGTACAACTGTTGGATCCGGTGCATCATATCAACCAGGCTTACCGGATGACAAACGGGTTCACCTGTGTTTATACTTTGTCTCCCCTAATGGACATGGCCTACATCAACTTGATGTGGAGACGCTAAAGCAGTTACACAATAGAGTAAGTTGAAGTCTGCATGAATATTGATTTTGATAATACATTTAACTCGATTCATTTCCGTTTTTAAAATATTTGCAATCTTTATTCAATATATATATATATAATGGTGCATCGGTGGCACAGCGGTTAGGACGCTCGCCGATCATGCACATGGTCCGGGATTCGATCCCCGGACGACGCATTCCTTTACCTCGCTAAACCAGAAATGATGGCTGGCAAAGAGGAAAGGTAGGGCATGAGGCTAGCAACCCCATCCTGTAAAAATAAACACTACTACAGAAACTTCAAGCCTCTAGCTTGAAGCCCTATGTTCCACTGGGAACGTGAAGGAATAAAAAAAATATATGAATGCCATGAAATATTCCATTCACAATGTGAACTTTGTAGCACGAACAAACAGCTTTCCAGTCGATCAAGAGGGGGACGCGGAAATGGAAATCATGTCAGCAATATTTAAAAAAAGCATTAAAGATTCAGTAATAATGGTTAGAGAATTTCAATGGGGGAGTTAAATCATTCAGTTCTTAACTACAGTTCTTAGTAGAAAAAAATCCCACCTTGCATCACGCCTAGGTACATAAATGTCAGACAAGGCGGACTACAGATCTCTAATTACTGGTACTTCTGCCAGAAGTAGTAATTGCAGTGACTTGAAGCAGTCATCTTACCAGTAATTAAGCCGAAATTTATTATCCACTCCTCAAATGATGCATTTCTTGTCACCAAAAAGACGAGATTTAAATATGCTTTCAAACTAAGTTTACAGGCTTATCTGTGAGGTTCATTCCATCCTTTTAGAAGACTGAAATTGACTTTAAAAATTATTTTATAGGTAACCTGATGATAAATGTCACCCGGAACAGATCTCTCATGTTTACCAGGCTATGAACTATACTTGATCTATGGTAGTTGATGATACTTTTTAGCTATGTAGGCTGAAATTAGTGGAGTAGAATGTGAAGCAGGGACTCATTGGCTGAAAGTCGAATGTTTAAGTCGCGGAGATTATCCTAATATTAGCTTATCCAAAAATGAATTTTTCAGAGCCGAGGTATCCGAAATAGATTTTTTATAACCGATAGTCAATGTGGTCACTGATACTACCCACTTGACGGGCTGAGATAGGTGGAACACGATTCGAACCCAAGATTCATTGCATGAAAATCAAGTACTCAAGCCAATGAACCATATCTCTTGCAGACAGTTCCAAATGTGAAGTTGTTTTGCCCTTCAGTTAACGACTTTTATTTTCGTTACAAATATATTTTTATATCAGTTAAAAATTAGTGGTATTCTGATCACATGAGATTTTGTTTAGTATGAAAAGAACAGATTACACCATAACTGTCATTATCATTTTGAGATGGCCACTGCCAATTTGAAAATTTATGAAGTTTTATTAAGAGTGGGCGTTCAACGGAAAGCTCTGTTAAAATTAGTCTTTGTGTGCTTTTTTGGTCCTGCATTAGTAAGGCGTTTCTGTAAACTTAACGCAAATCATATTTCGTCCAAAATTCAGCTTGATATCACCTAGTAGCTAAGTTAAACATTCGATTAATACATTATTTAGACAACAGCTGTTAATACCCTGGAATATTTCGTTTCGGGAAATTTCTTGTCTGGTGAGTTTGTGTTGTCGAAGTTGATGAATATGACCTGACCCATATATCTCAAGTCATCCCATTTTGCGTAATTTCTGCACTCAAATGATCGAATTTGTTCACGAGTAACGTTATATGGTAACTACTGATTATATTCATATACCACACATGATCTTAGGTCAGAGAGCTGGGAAGCGTCTGTGGTTCAGTGGTGGGACAATGACTAACCAGGTAAGTGGTCCGGAGTTCGATCCCCGGCCGATACACTCCTTTACATCACTTATCCGGTTACAATCCTGACAGAGAGGGGAGGTTGGGCATGAGGTTATCGACCCCATAATGTGAAAATAAAACCACTGCTACTGAAACTTCAAAGTTCTAGCTTGAAGATCTATGTTCCACTGGGAACGCGAAGGAATAAAAACAAAACTGATTATATTACTAAAATTTTCGTATTTAAGTTTACTAGACAATGAGGAATTTCTTTAAAATATGAGTAAGATGAACTTAATTTAATTTGTACCGAATACAGTGTCCAACTCATCTAACCTACTTAATTTTTGTTTATTGAATATACAACGCTTACTCCGATACTGTTTGGCCTATATATGAAACTATAAGTTCTATAGTGAAACATAGTAATATTTGTATCCTTAAAAAATACTCTATTTTAGATGGGATGGATGGATAGGCAAATATGCTTGCAAGTTATATGATCAACATTATATTAATCACTCGTAGTATGATTGAGTTTGATTCAGTCCGAATGTTAATCATAATTTATGAGTTATTCATCTTAGCTCTGCTATCTTTTTTGTCTTTTGCCATGATTCATGTGATTTCCAGTATTAACCACATATGACATGCATGTTGGCTTTAAATTAAATTAACTTATTTTTATTTCCTTCCTTAATGTTGTATATTTTTATTATGAATAATCAACATCCATCTAACATACGTCTTACATTCGTATACGTTTTCCCACAGTATATTCCACAGACCTGTATGTTTCCATAATTATCATTTAAATACTTACTTGGATTGTATGGTGATATTTCACCTACAATCTATTTTATGCATACTCAGGTATTATTCTGATCAAAAACAGATATAACTTATTTGTTTAAGCTCCTAACTTCTGAATCCAATTTCACTGAATTCGGCTTGTGTGATCCCTCTCTGAAATAATAAGTGTGACTCACAATCAGATATGTGGAAAGTCAGTTCCAGCCACCTTCATTTTCACAAAATAACCAATCTGATAATTTATTAAAGAATTAGTGAAAAAAAGTATTGAAAATAATCTTTCAGTATTTGATAATATTAGAATCAGGTTTGAGCATTAGTTGACATCAGTTAGAGAACTATTAGAAAACCTGGGAGTAGTGGACAGTTGTTTCGTCCTACTTCGGGACTCTTCAACAATACGCTATATATATCGCGAATTGGCAGAGTTCGGAACCCATGGGCCATTGGATCAGATCCTAGTGGCTGAATGGTCTACAAACTCTCCTTGTAACCGGAAGGTACTGGATTCAAACCCCAGTGGTGCATACTGATGAAGAGGCTGAATCAATTGTCCAATAATATCAGGTTTTCGAATGGTTCCCTAAATGATGTCAACTCGTGATCGAACCTGTAACCAATCAAATCTCTGCAAACCAACACTTTAGAATATTAGAATCGTTATATATTACTTAAAACCACTAAATAAGTAAAATGCTAGAATCAAACATGACAGGATTATCATGATCCCCCTTTAACTGCTCTGTTTCAGTGTATTTTATTTGAAGGAAATATATACAATTACAACAATAGTTAAGATATACTGAAATGCATTTGTACATCTACGCCTATCCGGATACAAAACATGAATAACAGTAGCTGACATTGTTTTAAACTGCCTGAGAAGTCAAATGATATACCTTAACTTTTGCTGTATATAAATTTCTGTACATTACATTTTCCGATGGTCGATGGTTCAGTGGTAGAATACTGACCAACCACGCCTCACATTGTACGGGTTTGATTTCCGGCCGACTCACTTTTTAACCTCGCTTACCCGGTAATAAGCCCGGTGAAGAGGAGAGGTTACTCTTTAGTCTTTCAACATGACAGCTAAATCGTTTTAATAATTTTTTTGATACTATGTCTGATATTTGTAACGATTGTGTCTCTTTATATTACCGACATCCGCAGTCAAAAAAGCTTCAGAAAAAAAAATTCTATGTTTTGTTTTTTCTATTTCTTGAGTTATAAGGTTTGATAGATCATTTTTGCCAGAATTGCTTCTTGTTTTCCCCAAAGTATAAAGTCACTTATTCCATTTAACGTTTGATGAAGTACTTGTCACTTTCATATCTTGGTTAGTTGTCTTATGATTATTAATGTTTGTCATGGCGTGAGATGGATAGAACATCATCTCACTGCTTAATATACACATATACTTAACTTTTGACCAAAGCTGTCAATTGTTTAAACAATTAATAACAACCATTATCTTTCCTTTTATTTAATAAATATTTCGATCCAACAATATATATGCAAAATTGTACTTAAGCCGCACAGACAACCTGGTAGCGCCGAGGGTGGGAGTTGACTTCGGTCTTCGTCTCGAAATTCCCTCATGTGGCCACGCGTTCATAGTCTCTGCCAAGCAAGTCCTATTCTCTTTCTTCACGCGGCCGAAGTTTTCTTTACAAAAATGAAAGGAGGAATGCGAACGTCTGGTTTTTATCACCGGAGTGGTGGAGATGCAGGTCTACCTAAGGGAGCTGGAAAACCCTAATTCCGAACCTATGGTGTACATGAGCTTCAGAATCCGAAAGGACAGAATGGTATATATGAATCTCTTTTCGTTATTAGCAACCAGGGGGGCTTAGCTCTTGACGCTGCTTCATCACCTTGTGGATTTGGTTTCAAGTCAAAGGCTCGGGGGAGGGCACTTCTTAAGACAATGACCTGTGTCGGTCTAAGCATCTGGGCAGTATTCCAGTCCTTGCATGAACTATGAGGTCTTGTCTAGGGAATCTGTTGGTGCCCATAATGTACAAAGTCTGTTTCATTATTATTAATAGTAATAATAATAACAGGTACTTAAGCATTTGTGATGACACTTAGAACGTGAATGAAAATTACAGATTTCAATTATTAACTGCAATTAATCCTGATGTTTGACAATTGCTTAAAACGCGTTTCAATGTTGTTTATTCAGAAACATATTAAATGGATCAAATTTTGTCATGGATTAAATAACATCATCTAGAGTAATACGATACCATTAAATTCTGATCTAAATCAATCCACTTTGTTGTTTATTATTATTATTATTGTTGTTATTAGTATTATCACTACGGTTTGAAATTATTGATATTAGTTGATTCCCTATGCTTTTTTTAA